TTATTGACTAGGATGGTGAGAGAGAAACTGAGCTGATGGCTGTTGCAGGAGAGAAGGAGGTGGAGGAAAAACAAGAGTCAGAGAGTGTAAGACAGGCTTATTACATCGGTGGGAGCTGGGACATAAACAGAAACCTCAAACAGTTATGTTTTGTCAGGACTGAGATGTTGCTGTAGCAGGTCTGGGCTGAGTGGAGCAAGAGGACAGGACTAAGAACACTCAATAATGTCATTTCAGACCAAAGCAGTGGCTTCAAAACTGTGCTGGGCCATGACACTTTGTAATCACACTTTATCCATTAGGATCTGCAGCTAAAGTTCACTTTCCCTGTCCCAGGCTCTCATTGGTGGAAAAAACCTGACTCTAGAAAGAGTATTTACTTCTCTTAGTTCTTTGGAAATTGGTCAGAGTTCACAAGGTAAGTGTGAAAACTGATAAAACCTCAAGCAGCCGGCAGCGAGCAAGAAATCAGCACCAAAATGACTGTAACAAAGCGGACAATGCAGTGACCATGTGATCGAGTGTTATAGTGTCCAGACACATGTGGGAATAACTGATAACCATACACGCACATGAACATCACCATCACACATTCATGTATAGACGGCAGCCTCGTGATTTGGCCGAAGCACTAATGCTGCTGTGTTATCGGGCTGCAAGGGATGCATCAGGAGCAGTGAGTGTCTTTGACATGTGGCATGTTCTGTGGTTATTTGTAGAGACACCTAAGTGCTGAAGGGCACATGAAATAGTTATACGACATGTACAACATACAATAACATCATGTGCACTTTAGTGGGTCTCGGTGGCTGACACAAGCATGAGCGCAGACTGGTAATGTTGAAGATAGCTAAAGTATATGTTGACACACAAAGCTTCATTCTTATGTAGCAAGGTTGGTCTGGGTTACACACGAGCACTGGGTTATTCATTCATTCATTTTCTACCGCTTAGTCCCTGAACGGGGTCACGGGGGGGGCCGGAGCCAAGCACTGGGTTAATGATGGTGAAACTATATGAGGTCAAAGTTTTATATTAGCAGACAACATTTCAGCAACCCTACCAGACAGAACTAAATAACAAAGCATGTGGTACAACCTGTTCTTCTCTGCTACATATTTAGAGGAAATGGGTAAACTCAATAAGCTTACGAAGATAATCGGGTTTCCCACTCTTTTCGAGAAATATTTTTCCAGGACATTTTCAATGACTGTGATGTCAAACGGGGATCACATCCTAGACTAACACGTTCCTCTGGCTGAAAGTCTCTTTTAAATAATATGCATTAAACTATGATGACACTTTAGATGCTTTATAACGATTGATTATCGGCGACTGCCGCGCCCTGGCAAACACACACACACACAGATGTTCAGTCCCTCAGTGTGTGACTGCTAGTATCCTACAATAAATGTGTGAGCTTCAATTTTCTGCAGTTTTTCTTGTCTCTCTCTCCACAGTCTCTTTTACATCACAGGTTACAGTGAAAAATATAAACCTGACTCTGTGGAGGCTAGCATGACTAAAAAAACTCTCCGACTTGACTCTAACAACAAAAGGAAGCAATAACAAACACAGCAACATCCAAGAAGAGTTCTGTCTTTTTTTCTATAAATTCTAAATGGATTTGTGTAGGTTTATTGGCAATGGACAAATAAGGACATCCTCTGGAAGTGCCTACGGATGATAGGGTTCATGTTTATGAACTAAGATCTGTATTATTTTTGACTCAAGAATACATTTGACCCTCCAATGTTCAGTGTCCTGTCAGAAAGCCTCTTGGCTTAGTCCCGCTGAGTGCCCATTTCTACTACTGACTGTATTGTATTAAAAAGCTAGTCCACTAGCCGACCAACATTAAACAATAATTCTGCAAGTGGTGGAGCAATGAACTTGTTTAGATGTAAAACTCATTACTAGCCAGTAGTAATTAATGTTTGCATTTCAACTATCAAGCGACTTTCAGTTCTTGGTCGCCTGCTACATTCCACTGTGATTTTATCTGTCCAGTTTATTTTATTCACACTGTCTTCACCAACCTGATGTGACGTGGCGCATTTAAAAGCCAGTGGCTTAGGGTATTCAGAGCACATAAACCATTACTAAACCCAGGCCCAAAGCTTCAACCCTTGCCATTCTAAGTTTACCTCACACGTTGCCCTAATTTCAGCTGCCAGCTCATACTGAGATTTGACAGTTTGCTCTTTTTTTTTCAGCATGATAAAGTGTTTTTCCGGGATATTGTGTAATTTATCTAAATTTCCGTGACTTTTTCATGACTGGAAAACAGGTTTTAAACATTCCAGGTTTTCCAGGTCACGTGAGAACCCTGGCAATGCTGCGTATTTTTGCCATATTTCTACGATTATTCAGCCAGAGCTCAGTGTGAGTCAGCCACTCAGACAAATGGGCTCCTAGCTGCTTACTAACTTCTCACAGAGCACTAAATAGCATCCCAGTGAAAACACTGGAGATGAATAGTGGAAGTATGTAAACCTTTATCTTTGTGGGACCATTAGCTATTTCCCCATTTGTGCGGCCCTCTTCAATTGATATCAGCTCGGGTGCACTCAGTTCTAAGAATAACCATATTAGTCACAGTTTCAGATAGCAGGACAAGGACTCTAGTCAGAGTGGCCTTTTCACTGACACATGCTCAGACAAGCCACAGACAGAGCACTCTCAGGGCCCAATTGTTCTTATCAGCCAGCCTCCAAACTAAACGGTGCCACCGGGCAGGACGGCACTTCACTAGAGTCAACATTCTAGATGACCAGACATTTAGGATGGATCGGCCATTTCCTGATTGTCAGCTGTGTGGGTCTGTCACTGCTGTGAGTCATGCTAATGTCTCCAAACAACAGAGAACTATCATTACCCCCTTCCTTCTCATGCACAGTCGCACACAAACACACGACACTCTCACCTGTCCTGTGTGCCAACAGAGCCCTGTTTTTCATTCTTGGTGCAGAAGTCCGGAGAGCTCTGCAGATAGACCAGCTCGTTCTCCCTCACTGGCCTGATGTCAATGTCTTTAGGCACCAGCTGCTTGCGTGTCCCCATGGGCCGGTAAACTACTTTGGTGGCAGACAGGTATTTGGTCTTCAGGTCCATGGCGATCTCCCTCAGGTCTTGCAGGCCTCTCCAGCAGGTCCTTATGGAGCACGAGCCAGACACACCGTGACATTTACATTTCATCACCAGTGCTTCTCTCAGTACCTAGACATGAGGACAGAGGACATGAAGGCACAGCAGAGCTCAATGCATGTTTGACTGACATTCATAGAGATAAGATACCAAGCAAGCCAGCTTTACAAAACTAACACAATTAGAATATAAAGTGTTATGTCCATTTTAAAAAAACATACAACTTTGTTAAAAACATCTTTTCATTATTGCTCTTGTTTTAAAAATAGCACAAATCCACCTATGTTGCTAACCTGTCTCCCAACTTCACTGTTGTGTAGGTGCATGAGTTTGTTGGCATGGGAGCCCGAGCGCTTCATCTTCATGGGGGCATCAGAGAACTTGGAGCCCATGATCAAACCATAGTGCAGGTTGTCACCACATCCACCCCAGCGATAGCCAGGCGCCGGCACTTCCGCAGGGATAGGACCACACGAACACAGCCGCAAATCTCCAGAAGTGCACGCTCGTGCTATGGTGTGGCTGATGGTTGCAGCAGACAGGGCATAGACAAATGCAGTCTCCCGCGTTCCTGTCGAAGCAGAAAGAAACCCCAAACTATCTAAATATACAGTATTGGTTAAAAGGAAGACGCAGATGTTTTAAGGTACTGCAAACTAATAATGTACAAAGTCATTCAAAGATCATTGCTCTGGAACTCAGTGCCAATACTTTAGCATACTTTATATCCAGTGGTCACCGGCAGTTATTAGGGCTGTAACTATTTACAGCAAACTAGCAAAACATCTGTAGTTTCAGATATTTCTTACATGAAGTAATATGAAGTGACTATGGCGTGCCATCAGTACAGCATTACTGACTGGATGTGTGCATTCCTTCCCTCTGGTTATCAGATGTTGATAATAATCAACATCAGTCAGCATCAGTGTTTATTTCGTCAGTAAAAACGGTGAGGAAAACAATTTGTTGATGACCTATTTGTCAGGATGAAAGCAAGACTAAAACTAAATAGAGTTTGATAAGAATTATGGCAAAATGGATTTGTTTGTCAATGAATAAGAACTAAATGATAATGTGAATGAATGGAGCCATCTTAATGCTACAGTTTATTTAGTGATGTGCAGCGTCTGTGAAATCACAAGCTGTAGCTCTGATCCATAAAACTGTTGGCTCCATGGGCCAAAACAGCTCGTGTTCAGAAGTTGGTTTAGTTGTTTAACGTTTTGCACTTCTGTTGACAAGCTACAGTTTAGAAATGTTTGTTACTTTCACTTGGATATCTTTGTTGCTATCAAAAGGAATAAGTTCCAGGATTAATGTGGGCAGTCAAACATCTAAATCTTCCTCTGGATGTTTGCTACAAACATTAATGTTCAATGACAATTGAACAGGACTTTAGTCCAAATGTGAGTGAATCCAGCTTCTGCGGAGCAGATGACACTGTGAGCAAATAGGCAGCATTTTCCACTAACCTCACAATACACCTGGATAGAAATACTTAAAATGCAGAATAAAAATAGCAAAAACTAGAGTGAAATGTACTTAGTTTTTGTTGACTCAGACTTGACTAAAAACAGCAAAAATCAAAAGACTAAAATTGGCCTAAAACTAAAAAGCATTTTTGTCAAGAGACTGAGACTAAAATTAAATCAAATTCACGTGTCAAAATTGACACAGGTTGGTAGGTGGCAGCTTGAATTGATGCTCGTTACTGTGGATTTCAATGGCTAAACGTTACAACATTGAATTTAAATTTAGATCCATAAAAATAAAAGAACTGAAGAAAGGGAGAGCTTCCTACAACTAGTGCTCTCAAGTCAGAGAAGTTAATTTGCTGAAGACTCCTAGACACCAAAATGTGTCATAGTTACTTTTTTTTTAAAGATGTCTTGTTCTTTGAAAATACGGGTTTAATTAAAGGCGTTTCAACTTTTTAAAGACAAGTGCCTTGGTATTTTTGCTTGACTTCCACAGAAATTACTCAGACCGCTTCTGCTGTATAATCAACATCTCCGCTCTCCATCTATCATATTTCCATATCTCCCTCTCAGCGTTTCACCTGTCTCAACGGGACGAAACAAACTGCCTGCACGAACTATATCTACAGTATCAAGCGCAGTCCATGGCTGCCCACACTGTAATACAGAGTGAGCCCTGATCTAATTGGTAGTGATGGCCTTACACACAAGGCACATATGTTACAGGTTGGACAGCAATTGTAAGAAAAGGTAAAAATCACGTATGACCATGGGCTGGTTAGATCAAAACAATCCCTGGACAGAGAAGAGCCCATTCCTGTTCCACTCGGACTGTTCATTTGGCAAATGGCAGCCATGGTCTTTCTGAGGATCGCTGTACAGCTCCCCCGTCCACAATTGTTTCTGGCTGATTCAAGGTCCTTTTGGCAGCAGAAACAGCTAAGTCAGAGTGCAACGCAACAGACGTGCAGCTGGATAATGCTGCAGGTTTCAGACATAACAAGCCACTTATTAAATCATACACATGCTGTGGAGGGAGGTATCCTCAAATTACAGCTTCAGCACAAGAAAAGGCTCATCGGGAGTAAGATCAGGTCACATGTCATCTTAAAATCACAAATATCTTTTCTGTATTCTGTGTCCAAGTTGTTTTGGATAGCAGTCATGTTAACACAAATATATCTAGTGTTGTGTCTTAGCACAGAAGTCATTAAACGACCAAGGATCACTTCAACTGCTACTGTAAACTGAAGCGCAATACATGCGGCACCTAATAATCCAGATTCTGGACATTCATTAAAAGTCAGATTAGATTATTGTTGGTAAAAAATCTTGGAGCGGCTTTTTGGAAACAACAGCTATCATTGCAAATTATTTGTGACCATACCTCGGTCGAGGTCTGGCTGATACTTTGGGGCATCAGCGGGGATGTCAATGGAGGAGCAGTTCCAACGCATATCAGCAAAGGTCTTCTTACATGTATTCTTGACTTCACGGGCCGCTTGGATAATGGTCTGCATGAGCTCGATGTTGGTGCGACACAGCTGAGCTTGGGAGGACACCATGCTGGGCAACAGCTTACAGTGTTGGGTCTGGTTCATGTGCAAAGATGCAGGAGCATGTGATAGTGCTCTGCAGTGTGGGAATCATAAGCAAAACAGAAGGTATCGGTCATTATACATTATACAGCACACAGTCTTCTGTAGTGGTGATGTTAGATGGCACATTCTTGGTTTCGTGAGCTGTGCAGTTATGAGAATAACAATGCACACTGTCAGTTGTATTTACACTGGTGTGTTAGAGATATGGATTTGGTGAGTATACACTTTTAAAGCCTGTGAGACACACAAACTTTGAATATACACTTGAAAAATTGAAAGAGATAATTCTTCAGGCGGGGAACTATTTGGCACCCGCTACAGAAAAGAACCATCTTATCACAGTGAAAATCCCAAAGGAAAGTCAGCTGCAGATTCGTAAAATATAAGTGACACATTCTTGGCACCGGGCCTTTCTTTTGTTAAAGCACAGAAGAGGCCTCAAGATATGGCAAAAAATATAAAGACCTCACTAGATTCTGATCCAGGTGAAGAACTACATAGTTTGCATTTTCTATCTCAGGAAGCATCATCCTCTGTGGCCTCCATTTGACATGAAATGTCTGGTCACAGGCTATTAAAGGATGCACAGATTTGATTTAAACAAATAAGCAATTTCAACATATCAAGGATTAAGTTAATAGAGAAACCACAGGCAGAGGAGATTAGCTCTGATCTCTGCTATCTGTCTTGCACTCTGCTGAGATTTCGTGAGAACTAGGCAGCGCCGCCTGCGTCGTAGCCTGTTTTGCATTAGGGTCCGAGGGGCCGCCATTCTGTGCCCTACGATAAGCTGTGAGTCCGCTGGACTCGTGGTAACCCGGCACTCACAGGTGTTTACATCCACATCTGTTCTGCATTGCATTGCTTGTATTATCAAGACTGTAAGACATCCAGCTTAGATTTAGCACATGACATCCTGGGTCTCATGAGCACATCTGTTTAAGTCTTTGAGTATCACAACCAGTCGTTCTGATAAGACACCATGGATATCTCTGGTAATGCAGAAAGTCAGGTTTTCACAGTGATCAGACGTAAGGCGCAGGCATATAAACTCAGAGAGAGAAATACGCAACAGAGCGTGCAAACTGTGAAGAAAACCTCCAAGGGTTTATAAGAATACCAAACAAAACCATCCAAAACATTCAACCGAACAATAACAAATGCAAAAAATAGCAACTTGGGAATTTTACGTACTTTCCAAAATTATTGTGAAAATTATTGTTTACTTTTACTCCAACATAAAACAGTGTGGTGAGTAATCAGCATTTGTGTCAATGTTTACGGCATTGCAGCTTCCTTCTGCAGCCACTATTTTTACACTGATTTGAGGCCTGACTAGACTACAGACAGCGAGCGGTCTCATCGCTGGTGCTATCGGCGCCACCATGACGCCTCGTCATCTTACTTTCTGGTCTTATCTTTCATAATTGCGCAGCAGCAGGGTAAAAACACATTGCACTCAACCAAAGGCAGAACCAGAGAGTAAAAAAAGGTGAATCTGGGCTGCATTAAACCAAAGTCTACATTCAAAGCACTTTTTGTTTCCTTTCTGCTTTTACATGCATGAAAATAATGGAAAGACATTTGGGCGTGTAGACCTGCTACCTTTGTTGTGCTTCTATAATTATAAAGTAGGCAATTAAATCAATCAGAGCTGCCAACTAATCTACTGTCCCCTTCGCCACATCCATGTGTACACAACACACAGCCCCCACCCCCCTACACTGGGAGCAACGTGAGGAATGTTGGAGCCAATTTTCAAAGCTGCCACAGGCCCTCCACACCGTCCAACACTGAAACATGCAGCCAAGAGCCAGCCACACGATAGCATGTACCTTCATGAAGTCATTTGCTGTAACGTTGTTTGAATGTAAAGCAGTGTAAATATGGTGACTCACAGAAAGGATGAGCTGGCAACACTCCTGACAATACTTACAGCCATTTAATTCCAGAGCAGACCTGAGACAGCAGCAGAGCCGTGAGCACACCGAGGGGCAGGACATGGGAGCAGCTCCTCATGGCTGGACAGTGGTTGCAGTTCACACTAGAAATAAAAAGTCAAAGGACCGTTGGACTTCTTGTTCTTGGAGTTCAAACTCAGAGGTTAATGCTCATGGCCTGGATGGGACTTCCAAACCCTGTAATAAATATAGTAAAAAATATCAGTGACGTAGGCCAGGTGGTGATGAAGAATGCATCAGAACCACAATGAAAGAAGCTTTTTATCCTAAGAAGGATTCCATTTAGATCCAGTCTTTTAAAAACAGATCAAATCTAGCAAGAGAAAATCTGATAAAGGAGTATAATTCTGTTTACTGTCAAAAATCTCTAATGATGTAGCTACATTAAAGAAAAAGGAAAATGAGAGTAATTATTTGCTGGAAATATTTTTGAGACAATTCACTCATGGTAATACAAAAATAGTTTAACTCCATTCTACACAAATAAACACACGAGAAACAAGATGAATATTTGCAGTTAAACATTAAAGACAGAACTCTCTCTTAAACTCACATCACTGGGCCATACTGGATTTCTTAGGCTACAGACTCAACGTCAGCGTGCACAGTGCTAAGTTCACTCTATACTGGTTTGTAATCTCCTGTATATTTCTAGACTGTACATTCAGAATCAGAATCTTTATTGGCCAGGTGTGTCCACACAGGAGAACTTTGACTCTGGTACATCGGCTCTCAATGTGCATGTAGTAAACCAACATAAGGCTGTGTAATAAAATAAACAGTATTAACAAGCAACAAACAGGGCAAACAATGCAAAATAAGCAGTATAAACAGGCAGAAAACAATGCAGACAGACAGTTAATGAATTAACATTGCTATAAGATTTAGCCGACTGTTACATTTAATAGCACATTCATTACTGGAGAGCTTTGGGCCACAGTCTGAGGAGCTTTGGCTTGACTTGGAAACGGACACATTCAGAGCAGGAGGGCCTCTTGCTCATGATCAGGCGCTGACAAACTGCTTGGTTTATTTGCACTTCCTTTCAGGAGGCTCTGTCATTCAGTTTGGTGTCACCTCCGAGTATTTCAGGTGGAGGGCCGTTAGTGGGACACCAACACAGAAGGGTCGTGATGTGCAGTGAGGGGACAGGGCAGCGCATCAGCAGCATCGGGCTGTTTGAAGCTGCTAGGACGCGTCTCAGAGGAGAGAGGCGCAGGTAGGTGATACCAGAGCAGCAGCCCTGTCCCCAATCACTCACTGAAACTTATTTTAACCATCTAACTGAAACTTGCCAGCCTGCTGGTGTGCGCGCCTACTTTTCAAGCACTGGAGGTCCTTCATGTAGGCTAAAGTAAGAAAATGATTACACTGTCACGACTATCGATCCACAATGAAGTATCTATCCCCTGAGCATTTTGTTTGCCGCTTGGAGTCAGATCTGGTTGAATAACTGGATTTACTGCTTAACTGCACATTTGGCCTAAGTGGTCTAAAAGATAAATGCTGGTCCGACGCGTGTGTCACATCAGCTCTGGGTTTCCGCGGTCAAGTGACCTGTTGATCATACTTCCCATGGCTGAGACTGACCGGGGAGGACAAACGATGGAGACTGACCGGGGAGGACGATGGAGACTGACCGGGGAGGGCGGACGATGGAGACTGACCGGGGAGGACGCACGATGGAGACTGACCGGGGAGGACGATGGAGACTGACCCGGGAGGACGGACGATGGAGA